ACCTAACTGCTTCCGCTGCTATTCTGCTTCTCGCACGCCTCTGGCGCGTGCCGACTTCTTCCTGCCGCGCGCGGAGCGCGCGGCGAAAAATTTTAGGGTTTTTCATCCCGCCGTGCGCTCAGGGCGTACGGCGGTTTTCTGCCCGCCGTGCGCCCCGAGGCGCGCGGCGGTTTCCTGCCCGTCGTGGCGCCCCCGGGGACCTGCGCGCTGCCCCCCGTCGTCCTCCTCCCGTCGCCTCGTCGCGGCGCCCTGGGGGCCCGCGCGTCCCCCCCCTCCCGTCGCCTCGTCGCGGCACCTTGGGGGCCCGCGCGCCGCCCCCTCCCGTCGCCTCGTCGCGGCGCCTAGGGGGCCCGCGCGCGGCCCCTCCCGTCGCCCGTCGAGCCGCCCTCGGGGGCCCGTGCGCGGCCCCCCTCCCGTCACCCGCCGTGGCGCCCTCGGGGGGCCCGCGCCCTGCTTCTTCGTGGCGCCCAAGAGCCACCCCGCTGCCTCCCTTTCCCTCCGTGCCCCGCCCCTGCTGTTTCCCGCGCTCCTGCCTGCGTTAGGGTTTGGGGGTGGCGGGCATGGGGGTGACCGGTGTGGGTAACCTGCGGCTCCTCCTCCTCCTCCGTCTCCCACTGCTGCAGCTGCCGCTGAGGGGGGTGGGTGTGTGGGAGCCGAGGGTTTAGGGTTTAAGGGGGGTGCCGTGGAAGTGGAGCTAGGGTGTCAGCAGGGGGTGTGTGAGAGGGGCGTGGGACGGTCGGGGGAGGTTGCGTGGAGGTAGCCGTCGTGACGCCAGCAGCGCCAGTAGTCCGGATGCCCTCGCGCGTTTCGGTAGCCCAGCGAGCCTGCTTCGCCAGTCGCCTGTGGGTCCGTTGCTCCTGTGTGTGCTCGTCGTAGCCGCGGAGCCAGATACTCCCGTAGTCCGGTGCCCTCGTGCGCTCGGTAGCCACTGTGCGCGCCGCTCCTGTTGCCCGTGTGTCTGCAGCTTCAGTCGGCGCCTTTCATCTTCTCGCCCTCACAGTTTCTCCTCCTCCTCACTTGCCCTCTATGATCACCTCTAGCTTTGCTTATAATTGTGAACTATTGCTATGCCTGCTCATTGTACTGATTACACCCCACTTTGGCTATGGGGGTGTGTCAGAATGTTATTATTGTCTAGCCTGTAGTGGGGTGCTCTATAGCGAGTACAACCCAGTTAGGGTTTGCTATATGTACCCCAACTGCTGCTAGTGAAACCCCTCTCCTTTCAATCATTCTTGCCTAGTTCTTTTCACAGTTGCTGCTCAGCGTGACTACGAGCTTCACTCTCTGGACTTCAACACAGCATGTAAATTTTTTTAAGAAGTTAAAAATTTTGAAGATTGTGATTCGACTAGTAGAGGAGTTTGCTGTAAAGGAGACAAACTCCTTGACATTCCGGCAGGTCTCTCAGACCTACCACCTAGTCTCATTTGCATTTTCTAGATCTTGATTTTCTTACCACCAGCACACTCTCGAAACCCTTGTACCTCGTATGCCTAGGACTAGGCATAGGAGCACTCTCATTTCTGACGTTTTAAACGTAAGGCTTTCTGCTATGGCAAGTGGCTTCGTTTCCGCTGCAGCGGGAAGACCTCCTGCTCCAAGAATGGTGACGCGGAGCAGTGGAAGGCGTGCCTCCCCGCAACGTGAGGAAGATGGGGCTTCTTCCTCCCACCGCGAGCGTTCCCGATCTCCAAGAACTGGCGGAAATGCGGCTGTTACTGCATTGGAGCTTCTCAACAGTGCGCGTCAACCTTCCGTTCGCGCATCTGGTGTCATTGCCGACGGAACAAATCGGAATGGTGGTAACGACCGCACTGCACACTCCTCGGAGAGTGGTGTCACAATCTTCTCACAGGGCAGTCTGCACGAGGAGATCTGGCTGCGCCGCCCACCTGGCTTCACTGTGTCGTTCCCTCCTAGTACCAAGTGGAGCCTCCGGCGGCCAGTCTACGGTCTCCACCAGGCGCCTCGTGAGTGGCACAACACACTGAGGACGACACTTGCGGCTCTTGGGTTTGCTCCTTCGTCCCCTGACCCGTCGTTGTTTCTGCGCACTGACACTTCGCTGCCGCCGTTCTACATCCTCGTGTACGTTGACGACTTGGTCTTTGCCACTGCTGACACTGAGGCACTCGCCCTTGTGAAGTCGGAGCTGCAGAAGAGACACACGTGCACAGACCTGGGTGAGCTGCGCAGCTACCTTGGCTTGCAGATCACTCGGGACAGAGCCAGCGCACCATCACACTGACTCAGTCACACATGGTGTAGCAGGTCCTTCAGCGATTCCGCTTCACTTGGTCCTCGCCACAGTCCAAACCTATAGCTACCGGTCACTCGCTCTCAGCTCTGCCTTTGGATGAGTCCGTAGAGCCGAGTGGCCCATACCCAGAGCTTGTGGGCTGCCTCATATACCTGATGACCTGCACTCGACCTGATTTTGCGTACCCCCTTAGCATTCTGGCTCGCTACGTTGCGCCTAGGAGACACCGGCGAGAGCACTGGGAGGCTGCTAAGAGGGTGTTGCGCTACTTGTGCAGTACATCGGGCATGGGGCTCGTGCTTGGAGGACGGGGTGAGGTTGTCCTCACTGGACACTCGGACGCGTCTTGGGTTGACGACCTGGCTACGCAGCGGTCGTCACAGGGTTACACTTTCAGCCTTGGCTGTGGCTCTGTTTCTTGGCGGTCTACCCGCTCGTCTTCGGTTCTCTGCTCCAGTTGTGAGGCTGTGATCTACGCCACAGCCATGGCTGCACAGGAGTTGCGCTGGCTCACCTACCTGCTGACCGATTTGGGAGAGCGGCGTCGTTCTCCTCTAGTTCTGTACGTAGACAACAAGGCTGCTATTACCTTGTGTCAGGAGCACAGACTGGAGCACAGAACGAAGCACATCGCTCTGCGTTACTTCATTGCTCGTGAGTTGCAGCAGCGTGGTCAGCTTCGTGTTGCTTACGTGGCCACCCGGGCCAACACTGCTGATATATTCACCAAGGCACTTCCGTCTGGTGATCATCAGCGCTTCTGTACTATGCTAGGCCTTGTGCCTGTTTCGTCTCACTTGCTCACTTCGTGACTTTGCTTGTACTGTGATTTATATATATACCTGCATGCTTGCTCTTGCTAGGTAGTGATTATTGAACTGGCCTTGTGGCCCTTTGCTTGTGCTCGGAGTGTGTGGTGACGTTGTGATCCACCTTGAGCTTGCTTTGCTTTTCTTGACTGGTCTTGTGACCCCTTATTCTCCCCCACTTTGCCTATGGGGGTGTGTCAAACTATATCTGTGCTAGTTCTGTGTAGGCTATAGTGGGGTAGCCCATATGGGGTACAACCCAAAGTTAGGGTTAGTACTTGTACCCACATTTCATTCAATGCACTCATTCCTGCTTGTTATCTTGACAAGAAGGCACCCAGTGTGATTGCTGGGTGACGTGCCTTTGAACGGTCGTGGAGGGTTCATTACGCGTTTTTTATTATTATTTTTTTTTTAATGCTAAAAACGGAGCACATAATGTTTGCATGTGTGGCTTCCAAAACACAAGTAATATACATGACATTTTGATAAGACATGGGTCTTACAAAATACTGGCAACTGTTAAGCCCCCCCTTCCCCCTTCCTCCCCATTTTTGGGTGGGATTCTTACAATACCCCTGGGTCTTTTATCCGGGGTATTACGGTATCTCTCAAAATTTTTACCTAGCAGGTACAGAGTTACTTTAAAAAATGACCCTATTTTTCAAAGAAACAGAGTGTTTTACTCTGAAAAAATAGGTCATGTCCTAGATACAAGGTGAACTTGTGTTCCATGCTGGGCCCAAAATTGGTTTTTGGCCACCCTGTCAAATTAGGGTGCCAGTCAGGGCCTACCCTGACTGGTTGGGAAAAAAATTCGTTAGCCGGAAAAATTAGTCTGATGGTACTGGTAGGGTAGATATTTTGGTACACTGCCAACATACTAGAGATGATCCTTAACTTAAAGTGCTCTAGTTCCAATTCGCAGTGGCTTAGCTGGGCATATTAACGATCAGGAATACAATGTCGCATGTTCGATACTCGATGTTGGGAGTATTTTGCAGGGGTTCGTTTCGTATTTCGTCTCGCTATGGAGCATCCGGTATCAGTATAACTGTTATCGTACCCTGTACAGTAAGGGAATTGAATTACTTGCGCCGCTTTTCAAAGGGTAAGAAAAAACGTACACTTTCTGGCCTAGGGTAAAAATCTCATTACCCTTCCTGGGAAAGGGCAACTGGAAAAAACGGCTGGAAAAAAAGGGTAAAAGGGGCAAAAAGGGCGTTTTACCCTGATATTTTGGGGCCTGGTTCCATGTTTTGGAAGGGTGACCTGAACACAATATGAATGAAGCTGGCTTGAACACCCTGGCTCTTCGAAATCTCGAAACTTTTCTAGCGCGTACAAAGGGTGTCAGACTTGCCCTGGCTCAAGGCCCTCCCTCGAGTGCGGGAAAACGGTTCGGCTCGGATCCGCTATGACAAATGAGATTTCCTTCAAAGCTCAAATTCGTCAATCCCTGGGTTCTGCCATCTCCGCTCCGCTCTCTCTCTCCTCGTCCCTATCCCAGCTACGGAGCTCTGGGACCGAGAAGCTTGACTAGATAAACCTTCGTCTGCCATTCCGTGTTCAAACGAGCTCCGTACACTCGCCGTCAATCGTTGGCAGAGCAACTCGGTGATTCTGGTCGAGGATTCTTTTGAATGCATCTTGAAGAGCATTTTTGTGATGACTTAGTCCCGTTCAGAGGCAGAGAAGTGCGCGTTCTCGGCGCACATCGCCGTTGATACACTCCTTAATCGATTTAAATTGCACTGTTCTTGTTACGTTAGTATGCAAGCGTCCGCCTAATAATTAGGTCAAGACCTGTGAAATCCGCCTCGAGTATTCGTAGATTTGGTGATCGTCCTCCGCGCGTCGCAGGCAGCAGCAGGCACCCGCGACAGTCGCGTCAGCGATAGTAGGGGTGTCGACAGAAAGGCGAAAACATGGCGCTCTCTCTGCGACAGAAGCAGATAGGTAAGCGATTGTGGGGACGCGACGCGGCATGTCTGCAGAACGGGCGAGAGGTAGCAGCAGAGGCTTCTTTCTGGCCCGTCGCTGTTTGGCAGATTATCGGCAGCGTGCGATTGGAATTTGCTGACTTTAAAGCCTGGCGGATCATTGCTGACTTCAAAGCCTGGCAGATCATTGCTGGCACGCGATTGGACGTTTCTACCTCGCTGCCTCGCTGCCTCTCTGCCTTCTGTATCCCTTCCATCCCTTCCCTGATCGCGCGTCTTTTCACCCTGCTCGCAGATCCTCACTCTCCATCTCACCGTTCCTCACTCTCCATCTCACCGTTCCTCACTCTCCATCTCACCGTTTCTCACTCTCCATCTCACCGTTCCTCACTCTCCATTCCACCGTTCCTCACTCTCCATCTCACCGTTTCTCAACCCCCGTCCCACTGTTTGTCTGTGCTCACTAGACGCCTTCGCGCGCATGCTCAATCTCAACATCCCCGTTACGCGCCTCTCTCCTCCTTTTCTACGCTTATCCCTGCAACCCCCACTCACCGTTCCCCACCCCTTTCTATCCCACTCTTCGCCCGTGCTCACCACCAGACGCCATCGTGCGCATGCTCAACCTCAACAGCCCCGTTATAGTCACGGTGGGCGGCGGGCTGTCATCAGACGGCGACGTGTACAAGGTGCTGCTGCTCGATAAATACTCCCGCGACCTCATCTCGCCGCTCCTCAAGGTGACGCCTCTCCTCTCCCCTACGCTCGTGTCTATTCCACTCAAGGTGGAATCGGAGGATAAGGGGGAACCACACCAGGCGGGGCGAGTACTTAAGCAGTTTGATTGAGACGTGCGCGGACTTGGTCCCCACCCCCACTCCCCCCCACTTCCCCCCTCTTCCTCTTCGTCCTCTCCCCCCAGGTATCCGACCTGCGCAAGCACGGCATAACGCTGCACCTGATGGTGGACGCGGAGCGCCAGCCCATCCCGGACGTGCCGGCCGTGTACTTCCTGCAGCCCACGGCGGGCAACATCCAGCGCCTCGTGCAGGACGCCACGCGCGGCACCTACGACAAGATGCACCTCAACTTCACCTCCTCCGTGCCGCGCCTGCTCCTAGAAGACCTTGCAGCCGGGACCCTCAAGGCCAACGCGCTGCACCGCGTGGCGCGGGTATTTGACCAGTACTTGGAGTTTGTGTGCCTTGACCACGGGTTGTTTTCGCTCGGGCAGCCCGATAGTTACGTGCGGCTGAACGACCCAATGGCGAAGGACAAGGACGTGGAGGGGGCAGTGGAGAGTATTGTGAACGGGCTGTTCTGCGTGCTGGTGACGCTGGGAGTGGTGCCTGTGATCCGCTGTCCGGAGAGAGGGCCAGCAGAGATGGTGGCCAGGCAGCTGGATGCGAAGCTCAGGGCGCATCTCGCCACACACAACAACCTCTTCAAGGAGGCAGCGGCTGGGGCGCTGGCAGCAGGGGCAGCGGCTGTGGCATCTGGGGGAGGGGGGGCGGGAGCGGGGGCAGGGGGGGCCGGGGCGCTGGGGCTGTTTCAGCGGCCGCTGCTGTTCATAGCGGATAGGAATTTCGAGCTGGCGGTGGGGGTGCAGCATGAGTGGACGTACCGACCGTTGGTGCATGATGTGCTGGGCATGAGGCTCAACCGAGTGAGCATTCACAAGGGCGGGGCGGCAGGGGGAGCGGGGGCAGGGAGCGGGCCGCTGTCGCCTGTGCTGAAAGGAGCTGGAGGGGGTGGTGGCGCCAAGGCGACCAGCTATGAGCTGGATGACTCGGATAGCTTCTGGGTGGCGCATTCGGAGTCCCCGTTTCCCAAGGCGGCTGAGGCGGTGAGTGGGGTGCAAGGGGGTTGAGTTCGGTGGAGTGGTGTGTTTCTGTGCTATGTGGTGCTGGTACTGTGTGCGTTGAGGGGTGGGGGAGGATGGAAGGCCAAGGTGTTTAGTTATGAGTTCGATGATCTGGACAGCTTCTGGGTGGTGCATTCGGTGTTGCCGCATCCCAAGGTGGCCGAGCTGGTGAGTTTGCTGGAAGGGGGTTGAGTGTTGTGCTGTGTGTTTCTGCTGAGGTGACTGCTCGTGAGATTCATGGCTCGAATGGCTTCTGGGTGGAGCATTTGGAGGTGCGGTTAGGTGAGTGGTAGAGGGAGGTTGGGTGCGGTGGAGGTGGATTGAGTGTGTCAGGCGCCCCACTTATCTCTCTTCCTCTCTTTTTTCCTGCCATCCCTCCTGCCATCCTGCTTTAGTTCGCCCTCATCAGTTGGCTTGTTGCTCACGGCAGGGCAGTCAAGGCAGCAACTCTCTGTTTCCCCTCTCCTCAACTCACCGTCATCTGTCCCCTGCTCCCCTCTTCACTCACAGGTCGACATGCTGCTGAAGAAGTGGACGCAGGACAAGGAGCAAGTCAACGCCGCGTCGCCAACAGGCGATGCATTCTCAGAGGCAGAAGATGAGGACCTGATGGGGCGCACGAAGCAGCTGTCGGCCGCCATGAGCGCCGTGCCGCAGCTGATGGAGCGCAAGCGAGTCATCGACAAGCACGTCACCATCGGGGGCACGCTCCTCGAGGAGATCAAATCGCGCGCACTCGACGCGTACTTTTCCATGGAAGAGGATTTGCTGACCCGGGGCAGCACGGACCGGGCGGCGATGCTCGACTTACTCAGGAAGAGGGGCTCCAAGGAGGATAAGCTACGGCTGGCGATAATCTACCTGATGGCCACGGATAATGCAAGCGCGGGGGATGTGGAGGCGGTGGAAGCAGCGCTGAGGGAGCAGCAGGTGGACCTCGCCGCTCTGCATTACATCAAGCAGGTGAAGCGCGTCAACTCGAGCTTTGCTGCTGTGGCTGCCGCGGGGGGTGGGGCGGGAGGAGTGGGCGGCGTGGGCGGCAGCAAGGACGATCTGCTGGATTGGGCCGGGCGGCTTGCTGGGCAGGGTTTGTCACGTGTGACTGCTGGTGTGAAGAATCTTCTGGCTGGGGGCAGGCAGCTGCAGCTGACCCGGGCAGTTGAAGCTCTCATGGAGGGCCGACCCGGGCAAGATACAGACTCTTTTCTCTGCCTTGACCCCAAGGCCCCCAAGGGGGGGAGCAGCAGCACAGCAGCAGGGGGCAGTAGAGGGGCGGTCCGGGACGCTATTGTGTTTGTGATTGGAGGGGGGAACTACATGGAGTACGGGGGTCTGCAGGAGATGGCGAGGAAGGCAGGAGCGGGGGGCGGGGCGGCAGGAGCACGCACGGTGGTGTATGGGACGACTGAGATGCTGGCGGGGAGTCAGTTTGTGGAGCAGCTGTCAGAACTGGGGAGGAAGATGGGGTACAAGGCCCCTCCCCCACCTCCTGAATCTGTGGGGGGAGCAGCGGGGGGTGCTTCTGGAGGCCATAGGTAGGCTGTTGGGTGCCCCTGTGCATTGGTGCGTAGCCTTGTTTCTAGTGGTGTGATCCTTCTTTGGGGGCATTGTACGGTTATGTTAGGCCCTCCCTGTTTTACATACCGTATTACCCCGGATATAGGCGCATCTGCGCTTATAATAAAATCGGTTTTTATTAGGGGTGGCGCTTGTAATTGAATCACGGCCATAAGCGCCGGCGCTTATATCATGGCAAATATATAATTATACATTAAACGTACCAAATTGTACATTTCTGTCTCGTAAGTTCAATCGAGTCGAAATTTTACAGCGTCCTGAATCAGAATCGCGCGAGGGCGATTCTCTGACGCTGAACAGAGCATTTGGCACGTCAATTTGCCCGCGTGCCACCTCATCCTGACTGGACGCGCAACCAGTCAGGACCTCGAAAGTCAAACAAGGTGAAAATGGGTGCTGACTCGCTTGGAAGTTGAGATTCGTTACTGTTATAATCAAGATTGAAAAAATAAAATCATGCATGCGCTTATAATAAATCAGGGGTTTACAAGGGGGGCGCTTATAATCGAGTTCCGGCCATAAGCGCCATGCTCCAGATAGAAGCGCCGGCGCCTTTAATCGGACGGCGCCTATATCCGGGGCCATACGGTATTCCTTCGTGCACACTGCAACTATCAATTGGGTGCTCTTGATTCTCGTATGGGGGGACTTGAGCATTTGTTGAGCATGCCTTCCTAAGGGAACATTCATGTGGGGACACAAATGTCTCAATCCCTTTGTGACACGCGAAAACAACATACCGTAATCACCCTGATATACCACCCGCCGAAATTGAAGACCCCCCGGGTGGCTTGTGCGGGGTGGGTGCTACAGTCGACCTCGTTTGTAATATACTGTATACCCCCCTTTTGGGGTGATTTTCTATAACACCCCCATTTCTTACAAAATTTCTCATTGTAGATGTTAACGAATGCTAGAGAACATTGCGGAAATCACTTCCTCTTTAAAATTACTCGGTAATTTCGAAAGAATCTGCCAGAATCACCTCCGCCCCTCTTTTTTGCTGTTGCCACGCTGGTAGATCGTTCGCTAACAAGTGGCCAAAGAGATGCCACCTGGAAATTCCAAGGGGGTGAAAACTGTTGAGAAACATATGACATAACGAAATATTTGTGCTGTTAGATTTTACTATAGTCCTCCTTATAAGACTTTAGGGCCTACAATAATGGTACAATTATTGTAGGGCCAGAATTATTGGAGTCTAGAGGCCTTGGGGGTAGAATTATTGGTACTCCTTTATTGGAGTCACCATTATTGGTGCACCATTATTGGTGTGGATGGGTTGACTCTGGAGGGTTAACTGTAAGGATAAATGCCCTGCTATGTGATTCTATTATCCGTTGTCCTGAATCCATTCAGTTGCAAGTTCCTCTTGCTACTTTGTTCTACAATCAAGCTTCCGCAACGCCGGCATCATGCCTTTCTAGCATGGTATCAGAGCACCCCAAGATACTCCACACCCCACCGGATTGGTTTGAGTCATGTGTGAGGGACACCATACCATGAGGCTGCAGCTCCTCGTGGCGGGCGGCAACAGCAGCTGATGACGACGACGGCAGCAGCTGATGACAGCGCCAGCGTGCACCCGCTGCCTGAGGCTGCGGTCGACAGCAGCAGAGCCCGACGGCCTGCAGCAACATGGCGGCAGCGGCTCCAGTATGTGAGTAATGCCCCCCATGCTCCACTCTGCTCCATGTCTTCACCTGTCTTCTCCTTCCTGCCAAGATGATAATGCTTAGTCGAACCTTATTGTTTCACCCATGTTACCCTGTTACCTTGTGATGTTACCTTGTGCTGCTCCCCTTGACCCTGTACTGCTCCATGTTGCCCTGTGCTGCTCCCTCTATACCAGGTGGCGTACGGAAGCAGCTGCAACTGGTACACAAGCACCTGGCGGCTGCTTCTGCTCCTGGCGGCTGCTGCAGTGAACGTCTGCCAGCGGCACCACCTGAATGGTGGCAACAGCATCACCTAGTCGCCTGCAGCAGCTCCCCTGGACGTGCTGCAGTACCTGACGGCCTGCAGCACTGTGCCTGCAGCAGCTCCCCCTGAAGCGCTGGCCGCTTGCACCCGGTGCGGCACCAGCAGCCAACACATGACTTCAGAAAAGGATTGGTTTGAGGGATTGGAGAAGCTGAACGAACCTGTTTACGTGGAGCTTGCTGACGGAAGCCACTTGTTGAGCTCGATGGCGGGAACAATTCGAGCAACGGCACCCGGTGGAACAACAGTGCGCTACACGGAAGTGCTCTACGTACCCGGCTTGAAGTCCAACCTGCTCTCCTATTGCCAACTGTACAATAAGGGAGCACAAATTCACACACGTGAGGATGGGCACACGGAGATCACAATGACGGATGGAGATGAGCATGTACTCATTGGAGTTGGAATGGTCATCCATGGGGTGTTAATGGTGCAATACGAGCCTGCACTTGCATCCGTCCATGAATCTGGTCATGATCATCCGAATGATGCATTGAATGCGACTGATCTTGAAGGGCTGAATGTGCAATCTGCTCATGCATCCATCACATATCGCATGGCCCACAAGCGCTTGGGTCACCCATCATACTCATCCATGGATGCAACATTTCGCAATGGAGATGTTGAAGGACTCTCCATATCCGACAAGACAAACCCTCTCAAACCCCCGTGTGACTCATGTCTTCGAGGGAAGATGAGCAAGGCCCCATTTCCCACAGGTGGTGACAAGCGCACAACTCGACCTTTGGAGCTCGTGCATAGCGACATCATGGACTTGGGTGAAGCTCACCCCTCACTTCGCTACGTGCTGACGCTCAAGGACGACTACACCAACTACCTGTGGGTGGCGCCGTTGGCTCGCCGATCCGACATGGCAGCAGTTTTCTCGGCTTGGCATCGCGAAATGAAGACCAAGTTGCCCACGAAGCCGCTGGCTGCCTTACGCACGGACAACGGGGGGGAGTACACCGCAAATGCTTTCACGGATTACCTGAGCTCTCATGGCATCAGTCACCAAACGTCGCTACCACACACACCGCAGCAGAATGGAGTCGCGGAACGAGTCAACCGCACGCTCATGGATCGAGTGCGTGCAATGACCACTGGAGCCAGCCTTTCCTCTAAGTTCTGGCCTTACGCATTGGAGTACGCTGCATGGTTACACAACCGCATCAGCTGCAGAAGCAACCCGTCAGCACACTCACCGTACTTCATGATGACAGGAAAGGCAGCAGATGTTTCAATGGCAAGAACTTTTGGGTGCCTCTGCTACTATCTCCCTCCCCAAGGGAGCTTTGGGAAGTTCGAGCAAAGAGGAAGAGTTGGGATGTTCCTTGGACTCTCCAACGCTCGGAAGGCATGGATCGTGCGGGACTTGGCAAGTGATGTTGACACGGACACACGCTCAGCTCGTCTTTTTTATGACCTCATGATTCCGGACGCTGAAACAGTACTCGAACGACATCGCTACACGGAAGAGGTCTTACCACACATTGCCGCCTGGACCTCTGGGGAAGGAAGCTTTGAGTCCAAGTTTGACTCATTCCCGGCATCACCACCATCCCCTACATCGCCCACGGACACATCCACCACACACGGACAGGAAGCTGACACAAATCAAGCAGATGCAACCATTGACGACATAGCCGATAAAGAAGAAATGGCTGCAGCAAGTGACTTACCTCCAGCTGGCGTCTCTGTTCCTGAAGGTGCTGAAACCAACGAAGCGGAGAATGACGCGCGTCATCTTTATGACTTTGCCTACGCACCTGGTGGGATCGAGCTGGCAGATCAAGACGCAGCTCCACGGCGGGTTCACATCAACCCAATTGTGACTGTGCTTGGAGGAGAAGGACAAGGGATGGACAACATCACAGGACTGGACGTGCTGTTTGGGAAACGACAGGCAACACAAACGTTCAACACCCTTCCCAACATGCAACACCATGTGCTAGGATGTGCAGCGGCCGGCGTCCCCATGGTGGACCTAACGTACAAAGTGCCAAAAACGCTCAAGGAGATGGCAACAGACCAGTACGCACCTCTTTGGCAAGCCGTTGTGGATGCAGAGTTGGCCAAGTTCGACGAGCTGGACGCATACGAAGTGGTGGACAGATCGGACGTACCCAAGGGCACGCCAGTATTGACGGAATGAGTCGTGTTAAGGGTGAAACGAGATGAGCATGGACAGCCAAACCGGTTCAAGGCGCGCTGGGTGGTCAAAGGATGCGGACAAACATGGGGAACTTACGATGACACCTATGCACCGGTCAGCCAAGGCCCGACCTCACGCACGTTCGTTGCTGGTGCATCTGCTACGAAGCGGAAAGTGGTGCAACTGGACATCTCCAATGCGTTCTTGTACGCTCCGATCGACCGGGACGTGTACGTGAGGCCCCCGGAACCACGACGCGACGGAGACAAAGTTTGGAAGCTCAAACGAAGTGTGTACGGACTGAAACAAGCACCACGTTTGTGGCATCAGCACTTACGAGGTGTTTTGTTGGAGCTGTACATGGTGCAATCCGAATCTGACCCATCCCTATTCATCTGGAAAAGAGAAGGCAAGGACACGGTGTGGCTACTCACCTACGTTGACGACATCCTCATCCAGTCTCATGACGACGAAGGCATTGAAGCGGTGATTCAACACTTGCGGCAGAACTTTACCTTGACCGTCATCAAGACCATGACACAGTTTTTGGGGCTCAACGTTGCCGCTGACAACAACTCGATCTCGCTCAGCCTCACCAAGTACATCTCACAGGCTTTGGCGACCTTCGGGATGGAGGGCAGCCGTTCCGGAGTTCGGACGCCGATCACCAAGGAACCTGGACCTCAAGGAGAACCAACAGAAGAAATTGATGGTCAATTGGTGCTGAAACATGTTGGGACATTGCTGTACATCTCAACAGCAGGGAGGCCGGACATAACCTACGCAACGCATGTGCTGGCCCGACAAGCAAGCAAACCAACAGCATCAACAGTGCTAGGAATCCACAGAGTGTTCAACTACTTACAGAACACTGCAGACATGGGGCTGGTCTATGGAGGAGGGGACTTGGTGCTTCGCGGATACACGGACTCGGATTATGCGAACGAAGAAGGACGTCACTCAGTTGGAGGCTACGTGTTTACCTTGGGAGGAGCTGCTGTTAGTTGGCGGACTAAACGTCAAACGGTCATTGCCACATCAACAGCTGAAGCAGAATACATTCACTGTTTGAAGGGGCAAGGGAAGCTACATACCTTCGCCGCTTGTGTGAAGACCTCGGTTTTCGACAGCAAGAACCTACCGTCATCTTTGTGGATAACCAGAGCGCAATTGCGCTTGCCACCGGGGAGCAGATGAGTCAACGCATCAAGCACATGGACGTACGTTACCATTGGACGAGGAAGGCTGTTCGTGATGGAGTTGTGCGGCCGGAGTACTGCCCAACAGCGTAGCAAGCTGCGGATTATCTCACCAAGCCCCTCACCAGCCTCTCACCTGCAGCCTCTTGTGCGGTCTCCAACCACTTACACATGAACCACCGTCTGCACTTCGTACTCAAATTGCAGCCGATGGAGCTGCACTCTCACGTCCGGGCTTCTCACGAGGTTCTGGACAACAAGACATCACGTAACTCCGCACATCTCACTCATGTGTTTGGTGCTACCGGTATGTGCGTCCTCACGCATGTGCAAGCCTCCAAACACACGGGTGAGAGGGGGAGTGGGGTGTGGAGTATCTTGGGGTGCAACCAATAAATGCATGATGTGGCGGGCGGCAACAGCAGCTGCAGACTCTGAAGTCATGTGTGGGGTGCAACCAAGCCTCGCTGCTGGTGCCGCACCGGGTGCAAGCGGCCAGCGCTTCAGGGGGAGCTGCTGCAGGCACAATGCTGCAGGCCGTCAGGTACTGCAGCACGTCCAGGGGAGCTGCTGCAGGCGACTAGGTGATGTTGTTGCCACCATTCAGGTGGTGCCGCTGGCAGACGTTCACTGCAGCAGCCGCCAGGAGCAGAAGCAGCCGCCAGGTGCTTGTGTACCAGTTGCAGCTGCTTCCGTACGCCACCTGGTATAGAGGGAGCAGCACAGGGCAACATGGAGCAGTACAGGGTCAAGGGGAGCAGCACAAGGTAACATCACAGGGTAACAGGGTAATATGGGTGAAACAATAAGGTTCGACTAAGCATTATCATCTTGGCAGGAAGGAGAAGACAGGTGAAGACATGGAGCAGAGTGGAGCATGGGGGGCATTACTCACATACTGGAGCCGCTGTCGCCATGTCGTTGTAGGCCGTCGGGCTCTGCTGCTGTCGACCGCAGCCTCAGGCAGCGGGTGCACGCTGGCGCTGTCATCAGCTGCTGCCGTCGTCGTCATCAGCTGCTGTTGCCGCCCGCCACGAGGAGCTGCAGCCATGCGCCACGAGGAGCTAGAGGCGTCATGTAAGTAGCAGAAGCAGCCTCGCGCCAGATCAACCGCAGTAGAAGGGGAAGGTGGCACCGTGTGATGCAGCGGAGCGCGTGCGGCTGCAGCCACCCGCCAAGCACCAAGTGTTGCCGTGCGGGTGTTGCACACTCGTGCGGTGTCATCATACGTACGACGCCGCAGGAGCGCAGGTCGCCCGAACGCTGCTAATGTCGAGCGCCAGATGTGACATTGCAAGCGCTGGTGACAACGCGCTATGGTGGCTCGGCTCGCGCATCAGCCTGTGATGGTGCTGCAGTCCGAAACCAGGCACAGCTGCTGGTCGACACAGACGCTGACGCAGCCGTGGGTCTGCTGTTGCAGGGTCGCACGCAGCTGCTGGAGCATCGGGCACTATGCAGCAGCACAACGCACACCAGAAAATTGTCGCGACTACAGCAGCAGTCGCGCGACAGCAAGGAAGTCGGGTCAGCGCTGAAAGGCGGGAAAACGCAGCGCGTCATAGGTCACATGACCGGAAAGAAGCCATGCGCCATGAAGATTTCACTAGCAGCAGCTATCCTAAGACCAAGGGAGGCAATCCGCCCTGCAGCTGGGAATCGCGCTGACCTAAACTGTCATTTCACCGTGGAAATTGCAGCTTGAGCAGCAGCCATCGCTCTGGAGGTCTTGCATGAAACGAAAGGCTGGGAATCGAGAATGACAAGACAGCCAGACCCCTGCTGGAGAAGGGTGTAGGAGAAAGGGAGTTGTCAAAAGCGACAAACTGAAACGAGAGCTTGACAGGGAAGCGTACAGTGCACGGGAGTTTGGGAACAGGGTCGCGAGACTTGTGAGGGAAGGGAGGAACAAGGCGCAGCAGTGGAACACCTGAGGCAGAACGTTCTACAACCCGACAACGTAACCCAACTGTCAACGAGTTTCACACGTCAAGATTCGACCGCAACGGAAAGATTCCCACGTAAAATTCCAACGGCGAATTTCACCGCAATCATCGCTGTGACAACAATCCAGTCCCGAAATCCACGCGTAACCCAACCCGTTCCGCAATCACCGGCATTTGCAGGTCCCTCCAAATAGTGCTCCGTTAAAATCTACAGCAAGGGGGAGTGTTGAGAAACATATGACATAACGAAATATTTGTGCTGTTAGATTTTACTGTAGTCCTCCTTATAAGACTTCAGGGCCTACAATAATGGTACAATTATTGTAGGGCCAGAATTATTGGAGTCTAGAGGCCTTGGGGGTAGAATTATTGGTACTCCTTTATTGGAGTCACCATTATTGGTGCACCATTATTGGTGTGGATGGGTAGACTCTGGAGGGTTAACTGCAAGGATAAATGCCCTGCTATGTGATTCTATTATCCATTGTCCTGAATCCATTCAGTTGCAAGTTCCTCTTGCTACTTTGTTCTACAATCAAGCTTCCGCAACGGCGGCATCATGCCTTTCTAGCAAAAACGTGGTCGCCAAAACTCGCATTCTCGCCTCTAACTGTGATGTTAAACCGATTTTGAAAACACCCAAGCTGTCCATGTTGTCAAAACAGGTAGGCTAAAACGAGAAATAGGAAAGAGGGGTTTTCACTAGCAGGCAGTTGAGTACATATAGCAAACCCTAATTCGGGCTGTACTCGCTATAGAGTACCCCACTGCAGGCTAGACAAACATCACATTCTGACACACCCCCATAGTCAAAGTGGGGTACAATCAACACAACAAGCAGGCAGAGCAGTAGTTCACAATGATAAGCAAAGCTAGAGACTATCACAGAGGGCAAGTGAGGAGGAGGAGAAACTGTGGAGGCGAGAAGATGGGAGGCGACGGCTGAAGCTGCAGACACACGGGCAACAGGAGTGCGTATTACTGTTGCTACCAGGCTATACCCGGACTACACGGCGACAGGCGCAGCTGGCTCTCTGTGCTCCCAGGAGTGCTCACACTGTGGCTACCAGGCGAAGAGCCGCGGACTACGCAGGCCACAGACGCAGCTGGCTCTCTGAACTATCAGGAGTGCTCACACTGTGGCTACCAGGCTATACCCGGACTACTCAGGCCACAGACGCAGCTGGCTCTCTGGACTACAGGCGCTGCGGACGACAAGACGGCTGCCTCCACTCAACTTCCCCCAGCTGTCCCACACCCCTTTCACACACCCCCTGCTGCACCTCTAGCACTGCTCACACGCCACCCCCCTAGTACCACTCCGACGGCCCCCCACACATCCACCCCCCTCAGCGGCAGCTGCAGCAGTGGGAGACGGAGGAGGAGGAGGAGCAGGGGACGGCACACACACCCTTCACCCCCATACTCGCCACCCCCACACTCGCCACCCCCAAACCCTAACACAGGCAGCAGCGGGGGGGTGGTGTGCGGGCAACAGCTCGAGGGAGGGTGGCTCCCCAGGGCGCCTCGACGAGGCAGCGGGGTGGCCGCGCGCGGCTCCCCAAGGCGCCGCGACGGGGCAGCGGGGGGCCGCGCGCGGCTCCCGAGGCGTCGCGACACGGCAGCGGGGTCGCGCGCGGCTCCCCAGGGCGTCGCGACGGGGTAGCGGGGGGGACGCGCGGGCCAGCGGGGCGACGCGACGGGCTCCCAGGGGGGCGACGCGACCGTCGACGGGGGGGGGGGGGCGATGCGCGGGTCGACGGGGCAGAAAACCGCCGCGCGCCCCGAGCGCGCAGTGGGAAGAAAAAACGCTGCGCGCCCTGAGCACGTGGCAGGTAGCAAACATCGCGCGCCC